TGACACCAAATTTGCGTGCAAGTCTTATATCATCATACAGAACTATTACTAGGCTTGAAATCCCAAACAGACCTCAATAATACCAAAACCTACTCCAAACCGAATTTAAAGAACTTAAAAATCTTTAATGAGCCAACTTACACTATTAAGCGTTGAAACGCTCACGGATCATCCAAAACCTGATCTAAATATACGCCCAAGTTTGAAATCATCATACGAACCTATTGGAACTGTCAAATTTTGATTCAGAGGTCGTTTACTCGAAACATTGACTCAATTCAAACTTAGCCTTATTTAGCCAACATTAAGGAACTAAGTGTTCCGATTTCAACCTGAACCCTTCTAAATACCAAACTAACCATCCCTTCAAGTCATAAAATAGTTAAAGCACATATAGGGAGTCTTATTTAGGAAAATAGGGATCTAGCAAGCAAAATAACCGGTCAGGTTGTTACAGAGGAGATCCTCCCTACGGTTCAGATAGATTGCAACTGGGCCGATAAAACTGTTGTGGTCCTTGACCCCGAGGAGTCCATTACCACCCATGTCGAGGGATACTTGAGTGTTTACACGTATCCCTTCACATTGGAACCGATGGACCTGGTCATCGTAAATTTCTACAAGAGGTATGAAGTTTGCCTTGGTCAGATTCATCCTTCAATGTGGAGGATCGTGATCCTCCTCTGATTCTTCGCAAGCAAAATTTACGGCTGCCGGTTTACCGTTTATCGGGTATGGCAAGACAGTTTTTTCCGAGTAAGGACTTCGAACCTAATTTCGAAGGAATGCATGCCATCCCCCAAAAAGTGGAATACAAGACGTAAGTGAACTTTCCTTCTAATGTCGATTTTATGTTTACTATTCTTTTTCTTATTCTTATTAGTGTTTGTGGTGGTGCAGTCGTTGCTCGGGTTCCAAATGTTGTTCCTCGACTCAAAGAGCGGGTTGAAGGTATCGTTTCTCAGATGCCCTACTCCGAGCACTCGTGGCGCGAGCTCTCAAAGGGATGCTGGGAGGCCTATTCCCATGGTAAGAACACTTTTTCGATAAGGTTGTGTTAGGCCTCTCCTTTTACTATCAAGCTCTTACTCCTTTTACTTTCTTTCCTAGGTTTGCCTAAGGATGTCGAGCTTAGGCCTTCGGTTGGTAACGTGGATTTGCCCGTTGAGTCTCTTGCTTTGGGGTAGGTCGGAAAGAAGAAGAGGAGTAGGGCCCCGAGTTCCCCAAGCTCGGAGAAAAAGAAGCCGAAAAGGAGGTTGGTCCGCAAACCAAAAGAAACCTCCAGCTCCCGAGTAATTGACTCGGACTCCCTCCATAGGCTCAAGGACGAGTCCGGGGAGGATGAAATTTTAGTCGCCCGAGAGCCATCGATCCCCGAGGAACGAGCATCAGCCGAGGGGGGAACAACAGAAGCCACTCCCTCCCAAACTCAAGAGGCCGATGCAACAGTGAGGGTCGCGAACCCTCAAGATGTTGGTTCTGCTCCACCCCGTATCATTGATATAATGGGATCGCCTTTGTTCAAAGACTCAATGTTCGACGAAGCTCAAACGGCGAAGGAGCGGTCAAATAAGAGTGTCCAGGGAGCGAACGATCCCCTCCAAAGTTTTTTTGATGGCGTGGATTCTACTGCCACGGAAGATGTCACCGGATTGGGTGACTTGGAAGTACCAAGGAAAAGTCCGTCCTCGGGAGCATATGGGCCTAATTCAAGCTCGAGACTGGTCAACCGATTCCCTGCCCCGCGGTCACGGATATTTCGGCCTTCTGTTGGCTATGCTTGATCATCCGATAATGTTCCTCGAAATTGTTCGAGGCTAGGACCGATTCTTGAACTATGACCTCGATATCCCGAGGGCAAGCGTCGTGTCCCCGGGCTCTGGCTCGATGGGACTTTCGGCTTGATTTTGGTCCTTTGCCATCACATCTCGAGCTTGGCTTATCTTGTCGGAAATCGAGGTGCATCATGAGCTCGGTTTTACCCGTATACAATAATAAAAAATAGGGAAAGGAAAAGAACTGTCCATTCAAATTGGGGAGTAGTTTCAAGTTAGAGTTTTTATATAAAAGGCGAAAATAAAAAAAATAAAAGCTGCCAATTCAAGTAACGAATAAATAAACTTACTCGCAAGAAAAATAAAAAAAAATATTATAAAATTATAGAAATAGAAGTTATTTGAATTTGAGATGAGAAAATATCTTTTAAATTATAATGAGAAAATTCATGCAAATAACAAAATATAACTAAAATCATAATAGATAAAGTAAAAAATAAAAAAATATAGAACAATGAATGAATTTCAAGTAAAAGAGTAAGAAATAAATTAATAGTCAACTTTATTAGAAGTAAGAAATCTATGTTATATTAAAGGAGGTAATAAGCAAGGACATTAAATTTAAAGACAAACTAATAAAAATTCACATGATAGTGTAATCATACTGAGCAACGAATAAAGCAATAACGATAATCGAAGAATAAAAGAAGAAAAAATGTATTAGAATTTCAAACCAGAAAGCGTTTTTGAGTTTTTATGACAAAAATCATACATATGTAAAATACATGTAACTTAAATCTTAATAGATAATTCAAAAACAAAAAATATTAGGTAATAAAAGAATATCAAGCAGTAAAGCATAATTTTAAAAGATAGTTGACTTTAATAATTAAATCTTAAAAATCAAAATTTTTATAAAAAGTCAAAGGAGAAGAAAAACTTAATTTCTTGGCATATAATACAAAAATAACAATTAGTTAAAACATTGGTAAATTTATAACTAAAAAGGGAATAATTTATATTTTTGACGAATTCAAATGAAGATATTCAATGGAAAAAACGTTTCAAAGAACAGTTTTAGGAGTAAGAAAAAAAAAATATATATATATATATATATATATATATATATATATATAT